TATATATCTTTGACAACAGGCAAACCACAACACATGGAATCACGAATATCTCGACTTCTCAGCTGGGTTACGAATACTTTTTCTTATTTGCCTGCTGCTTTAATGCACCCATTTGGAACATCATTGTAACATAAATTGTATGTAAATACCCCGTCCTCTCCCCACCTCACACCCATTTCCCCCATAATTACTTCCGGGCGAAATGAATTAACCAGTTCAACTGGTCCAAAGGGGACCAGGTATTGCTACGTAAACTGGCCCAAAAGGAACGCACCCGATTCCACCGTGTTGTGACACACATGTGTACAGAAGAAGCTTCTAAGGCTTACTAGTAGCTCTGCTAACGGGATCACTCAACTCTAACTAACCCGCCTTTTTGGATTTGTTTCGCTACATTTGCTTATTTCTGCTGTTTTCAATACTTGTAGCATTTTGTTGATGGTTGGACAACTGCTATAGCCGAGCACGTAGTTAATTGTTCGAAAACCTATTTTAAAGTTAATAACATAAAAAAATAATAACTAGACCTATATAGTCTACATTTAACCCTACCCGTACGCCCTGGGGTAATTTTGTAACTCCGGGGTTGTATTCTTCATATTTTCGAATACTTCTAGCTCGAAGATCTCTTTGAAACTGTCAGTATTTCTAAAAAAAAAATCATTTTGGCAGACTGCTTTGCAAAGCGTATGGATCGGATTAACTAGTTAATTTCCTCTTTGGAAAGTGGTGGCACAGAGTTCCCCCACATCGTATGGAAACGATAGTAAAACACGACGTACGGATAGGGTTAAAATAATCGGACTCTGGAACTTATTTAGCACGTGTATAATGCATAAGCCTGCTATAGCTGGAATTCTGTTATATACCGTGATTGTGCTGAATGGTAGCCTAGGGCCCACTGTAACTTGGTGAATGTGTTATACCCGAGACAACATAATTAATCAGATCAAAGGAGGCAGCTTAAAAATGACTTTGCTAAAATGACATGACGTGTTTGTGTGCATAAAAACAAAACAAAACAAGAAAACAACACCAAAAAAAAATAAACCCTACAAAAAACAACAAAACTATCTCAGCGAAAATGAAAAATTAAATACCCTCTTTGGTGTGGTGGTTAGGTTTTTTTGGCTTGCACACAAGATACATGTGTTCGATTTTCATCTAGGGGAGATATTGTGGCGAGTATCTCCATCTTTTCACTGGTAACTCCTCCCCCTTCCCTCTCTCTCCCTCTCCTCCCCCCTCTCTCTGTCACCCCCCCTCTCTCTCTCTCTCTCA